GTGTGTTTGATCGGTGAGCTTTTTGATTCGAGTATTATGATTGATCAATGATTGTTTGTTGCGGGATTAAGAAGTTGCTCACGTAATCTCTCTTCAATTTTGTTTTTTTCTTCTTTCCGTGTTGGAAATTTGGTTTCGGAGGTATTGAATTTCCGAATTATGTGGAAGAGATTTAATATGAAATTAGCTTTTGTTTCGTGGGGAGAAATCATATGTCTGATTGTTTTTGAATTGAAATGTCAAGTGTTGAACTGAATTTTTTTTTCTCGGTTGAATTTTGTATGTAGAGGCTTGGAATGGCACTTTGCGGTGTTTGTTCGACTCCAAATCTGCGGGATTTGGAAGTGTTGCAATCTGTTAGGAATTCTTCAAGCATTGTTGGTTTTAAACGAAACCGTAGTCTATGGCAGCCCACAAGTTCAGTTCTTGCAAAATCTGTAAAATTTCGTTGTTCGTCCTCCTTGAAATCTTCATCATCTAATGTGGAGATGGAGGAGGATGCTCACAATACTAGTCCCTCGGTGGAGAATGAATCAGCACATGTTAAGCAGTTCGTTTGGAACGATTTTAAGATTCTTGATCGTGTTAGCATTGGTCATGGCGGCCGGGTAGATTGTCCTTTTTTCGATGTTTACTATGTTGGTTTTGGATTTGTACTCTCAGATTACTAATGGAGTTTACTTCTTTTTTTTGTTTCGTGCAGGCCGATGAGCTTGTGTTTGAAGCTATAGTTCAGGTTCCAGATAGGTCAGTTTCTACTTCATTGTATTAACTTCAAGATCATTTCAGGGGCTTCATCTGTGGTGCTTCGATTTCACAGCCCTTTGTTTAACCAAGGAGTTGTCCTTCGGAAATTGAATACCACTCACGCTCAAAGAAGAGGACGAAGAGCCATAGAAGTTTGTCCTCTCTTTCTCATTGCCAATTATCTATTATGTTGCTTAGCGTATCTCTTCAGTATGGTAACTGATATTCGTACTACTTACAGGTATTGAAAAAGCTAGTTCGTCGTAGGCTTCTGTACCATTCGTACTCAATGCAAGTTCACGGTTATATCTCCAATAACCCGAGCGATGATCCGTACTCATTTACTCTTGTACATGGGGTACGTACTTCCCTCCTTACCTACTTATCCGTAAATATGGTGCAGAGACCATCATAGGTTTCTACCATTCATTAATCTCTATCTCTTCTTGCAGTGCCATGGAAGCTTCTCGATTAGGCACTGGCTTCAACAGTCTGATTGGCTTCCAACGTTAGAAGCTACTCTTGCACTGGATGAAGAATCTTTTAGAAGGGTGGGGGATGATACAACTGGAGGGCCTGCAGTATCAAGGCAGTTAAGATTAATCCGTATATTAATGAGGGATCTTTTAATCGGAGTATGTATTGCATCCTTCAAACAAGCAGAATAGTTCTTTCTTTTCATCATGATTTGCTTTAACATGTTTTTTTGTGTCTTTAACTTGAAGGTCAATTACTTGCACAGCCATGGTCTTGCTCACACAGAACTGAGATTGGAAAATGTGCATATTAGCCCTGTGGATAGACATATCAAAGTTCGTATATACTTTCACTTGTGAAGTTTGATTATTAAGCTAACTTATCGCGTAGTTATGTATTTCAGTTCTGTAAATTAATTTTTCAGAGTTTTGTCCAACTATAGGTAGGGATTCTCGGAAATGCTGCTGACTTTTGGGATGGTCCAAGTACTAGCAGCGCTGCTTACAGTACCATGGACAGACGACAGATGATGATAGCATTTGACATGAGGTATATTGAGAAGAGATGCTTATTATAATCTCTGTTTGTTTACATTACTCAGCCTGATTTTACATTTCCTTTTCGTGTTGTAAGATGCGTTGGATTCATGATGGCAAAAATGGTACTTCAAGAACTGATAGATCCTTTAATCTTTGCGAAATTGAAGTCTTTCCTGGCAAAGGTATTATAAACTGGGCTACAGAGTGTCTGATGTAATAATTCGTAGATGAGTTTGATGTTATAAACTCATATTGACTTCCAGTAAATTTTCTTCAAAATGTATATATAGGGGAATGATCCTTCCTCGCTACGGGAATTCTTTGTGACGACACTCAATAAAAACTCCGAATCTGGAAATACCGGAGTGCAAGTAAGTACTCAGCTAAGTGCTATCATGGACCTCTCAGCATAATTACAAGTTCTTTGGCTTGCCGCCGTGACATTATTGAGCAGTTGTTTAATATCACCGCTTGTTTGCTCTCAGATACTTGATAGAAACTGGGGAGCAGGTTGGCACCTTTTATCGTCATTGATTGCTACCAGACCTTCGAAAAGAATAAGGTAACATAACATTAGTGCTCGATAATATTACTAATTTATGGATCCTAAAAATGATGTAATAACTAAGAAGCTGCATCAACAAAATCTGTTGGGGTTTCGTGCAGTTGCTTGGATGCTCTTAAACATCCTTTTCTATGTGGGCCAAGATGGCGTGTTGCCCCATCAATGGATATCATCAGATGGGGTCTTGGATCAACCACAGTAAGGATTTCAGAAGAATACATTTACCGCATGCCTCAGGTATATATGAGATATTTTGCTGTCGGTTTTGAAAGTTTGAGCCTTTATTCACCCGCTCAGTCTCTTTAAAGACTAACCGGAATAACAAAAAAAACAAATCTTATGCAGCGCCAAAGACTTGCCCACTTCATTGAACTAATGGAGATGCTTAACCCTTGTCCAAAACCAAAAGTATGAATTACATACATCTCATGCTTCTTTAACTTCGATTTATCGCACTTAAAGTGTGTCAGTTAGTGAAGGTTTTAATCCTTGGAGTAATAACAGTGTTGGTTGGAGCTTTTACCCGGAAAATGGCGTTTGTTATACTCTACCGGAAAGCAAATAGGTCTAACTTTGCGTCAGCCCTCTACACGTGCCTTAATAGGCAATGTTCACTTGACAATAACCCGAGCTTCAGAAGCGAACAACGCTTCACTTTCATTTACCTCTGATATAGGCTTTACTGCCATAACCAGCAAAGACTGGCCACACAACAAAACCGGAGTCACGGGTAAATTACAAACGCTCTCTCAATTCAGACTAGTAGCCGGAAAAAGACTTTACCTCAAAGAAGAGAAAAAGAACATTGGTAAGTTCTCAATGGGGGAGCCAGATGCTGAAGAAGGTCTAGCCGAGAAACTAGAAACCGAGAAATGGAAAAAGGTCGTCCCCTTCAAGGAGTTTCCGTCAAGTCTTCCTGTAGCYAAACTCGTCTCTGGGGAGATCGAAGTAACGATGAATATTAATGATCGTATAGATTCGCCTGGGAATGTGATTGGAGAAGTTAGAAAGCAGATTCCACAGGAGATGTTCGATTTGTCGAAGCTTGTGTGTGGTACGTATATAGACAGTAGGTTACTTGTACTTAGGTGTGTGAATGGTTCGGCAATGTTGTTCACAAGGTCTAGTGTGGACCATAAGTCTATGTAGCCACTTGGCTCGGTTCTTATGTATATAACAATGATCATTCTTTCTGGGACGAGACCTTGTAGTCTTTGTCTATGTTGTGGCAATAATGTTTGCTTTTGAAACTGTAATAAAGTTTTTCAGTAGAAAAATCCCCAACTTTGTTATTTTTATATTTATATCAAATTTGGTGATTTGTCCGCATAGTAACTTATTGGTTTTGTTTTTAATTTGACATTTTATAAATAAATGGACAATTGCAAAAATATCATTTTAGTGTGACCATTTTCAGCACTATGGTTTGTCCATTTGCAAAAGTGCCACTACTTAAGAATTTTTAAATCTTAAATCTAATAATTTTAAATCCTAAAAAATGATTTTGACCCGTAACACACCTTATTTTAAAATTTAAACTCTAATACAACGTAGTAAATTCAAACACAAATGATATATTGAGTAAATAATTTTGAAAAAATGACATTTTTGCAAAGATTTTGAAAAAGTGACATTTTTAAAAATAGTCAATTCTCAAAAATTCTCATAAATGTAACAATATGTG